AGGATATTCAGGTTAAAGGATCCAGATACTCTGGAAATGGAGTGTTTCATGGAAACAACCAACACAGAACACCAAAAACATCTGCACATCACTTACAAGAAGGTCACCAACTAATGACTAGAGAAATTAAGTCTTAGACTTATGAACTAGCTTAGATAAGTTCTTAGAGAACTACAAAACCACAAATGCAAAGAAGTGTTCAAAAAAATGTATATTTAGGCCTCCCAGATTGTAGTCGATCAGTATTAGACATGAGGCAAGGAAGAACAAATTTCTTATAATTAATCTGGAAAAACCTGCACCACCTAGACAAAGTGTTGTAAAGTTAAGCATAGCGTGACAAAGCATGACAAACAATTCTAAAGTAGGCTTTGATTACATATAACTACAACCAGAAATATGATTTATGTGTAACCCTTTGTTGTTAGAGTATTCGTGAAAATATTCCTACTACGTGTTGCATAGAATACAGAAACTTGTATGTGTTTTCCATCTAAAAACACGTAGGAACACTAGTTCCGCAGGATCTACGAAAGTGTCCTCTCATATCTGTGAAATTGCGGATATACGTGGTAATTAAGTTGTTTATTCCAAGGGAAACTCAAATTATCTTCTGTATTTTGTATCACGTATGATTTAGCTACCATTATGTATATAAGAACTTTGATTCAAGCAATAGAGTAGATTCAGTTGATTGTAAAGCAGTTGAGTGTCCTGCACCCCGTGTGCAAGCTCGCGTTAAACCCAACGTTTGCCTAAGCATTGAAACAGCTTGACGCTAACCGACCCTCAGCCAAAATTATACTACACAGAAGGACCATTTGAAACACTTTTTTTCAATGCCCTATAATTCACACTCTGTGCTCTTTCCTTCCCAGTTAAATTTACTGGTGATACTCTGTTGCACATACAGTTGAACCGCCAATAAGCAACCTCCATAAATGTCCAGTCTAGGTGACTTATTTAATCAGTTGATTTTATTAATGTTGGAAATATAATGTACATTTAAATCCTACCCTCTGATTGGTTTTTGTGGTGTAGGTTTCAGTAAGTGAATTGAAATCAGAAGCCCAAAGTAGAGAGGGCACAGAATTAAATACATTAAAGAATGATATAGTTCTCAAAATGTTTTAATCTTTAATTGAAGTTTGTTACTAACAACAAATTATTGTAAATAATGTCGAAATCCCAAGGCAGAGGACTACAATTTTGTAGCTATTTTATGAGTTGTCAAATGAATAGCTGATTATAAAGGAAAATTATATTTTCATCAGCTATATTATTTTGTAGTTGGTGCTGAAAAAGTATAAAAAATCACTGCTAGTCACAGTTTGTACAATTTTACACTTACATTGATACACTGTTCAAGAAGTTTAACAACAAATTGCTCTGAGTTTTAGCTACACACCATCATGAAATTTGTGTCTTTCTGTTTATTTTCCCACACTAGCACTACTTTTTCATACCATAAGGTCATTATAACCCTCATAAACCATAAACACAAACAGTTAAAAGAGGCAATGCAGGGAAATCTGAAGGTTCACAATATTTAGCCAACCTTTCTTGCAAAATGGGGTGGAAAAGTCCATGGATAAAATTTTTTCAGGGTTATACTTTAGAAATAGAGCCTTGTCCACAGATGATCTTAGGCTCATCACACAACTTCTCCCTACACAGGCTGGAATGAACATTGCCTCAATGCAGCTGCCTCACCAGCAAAAGTGAAATAAAAGTACTAAATAAATGCATTCTTTTTCCTGATATGCACAGCCTAGCGATTTAGCATAGAGTGGGAGCCTGCCAGGCAAGAGGTCTTAAGCACAGCTTAGCCCCTTCTGCACACTGCTCAATATTTCATTCTCACAGCTTGGACAAGGGAATTTTACAAAGATTGAAACCAATAAATTAAATGCTGAAGAAATTTTGAAGTAAAAAAATTTTTTTCAAATTTCTTTCCCTTTTTACTTTGAGAAATTGAATATTATCACTTGGGCTGAAGGGGCTAACCAGCTAAGTGTTAACACAAGAAAGAGAGCTCACTGTCTTTAA